CGCCGCCTCTCCCTCCGCCCCGGCACGGCATCCTGACCGGCACAGCGCGGAGCGCAGCGGGAAAGCCTCATCGCCGGCTCTGAAATAGGGCTAATTGCTGCAAAGCGAGCTCCCCGCACCATGAATGCACACGCTACCTGCGCAGGGGAGCGCCGGGAGTCCTGCTCCGCTGGACCCACTGCCGGGCACAGCTAGTCTATATGCAGGGGTTGCTCTGATAAAGAAAACCAAAAGGCACGTTCGCACTGTTCTCCTGCTCTAGACATAACCTTTCCCCTGGACATGCCAGGGAGAGAGGAGACATTGTGCTGGCTGGTGTTTTTCTGAAATGGTCAAAAATAAATACATCTACATTTCAGCTGCACAAATTAACCTCAGGTTAACGCTGCGGAAGAAAAATTAGTGTTCGGGAATTTTTGTTTCGTGCTGGAAAAAAAAAAGACAACTCGGATTGATGCTGTAAACCTGAATCCGAATGTCACAGCAACCCCCTGGCAGATACAAACAGAAATAAACTTCGTGAAAAATCCACGGCTTCCTCACTAAATAATAGAAAGTAGGCATTTTATTTATGATTATTTTTGCATGCACAGGTTAAGTCAAAATAAACTGAGTTGCAAAGACATCTATTTTTGGCCGGTAACATTTCCATTTGGTACAATTGCACACGTCTAATATTCAAACGTATTAAAGCATGTTTCACTGCTTACAGTAGTGTCATATACATTTCTCACCTTTTAGGTTCTGGCTCACAGGAGCCCCTGCGACTTTGACAGCTGTCGCTTTGGCTGCACAGGAGACGAATCGCCCTCCTTTTGGTGCCAGAAGAAGCAGGAAATTAGCCAGGTTGCAAGTTGAAAATCTGCCACGCCAGTGCTTTGAATCCAATATGCCACACCTTCCAGCGGGGGAACTGGAAATTGCCATCCCGGATCTGTGTTCTAGGCGGCTGCTTATGCCGAACCTCCGCACACTTTGTTCACTATTGCCTTACAAAGAACAAATGAAATGGGGATTGAAAGCCAGAGAGATCCGAAGCAGGACAGAGCTCAGCAAAAGAATGCGGCTCTATTCTCGCAAGGGAAATTATAAAAAAGTTCATGTTCACGGTTACCATCCACATGACCGACAACGACCAATGGAAAAACCGAACAACTCATAAAGTTGTATTGCAAAGTTGTAAATTTTCATAAACAACAACGGATTTATGGCCTTTTCCTCATCACTAAGAAGAGGCAGGTCTTAGAGAGGCGCCATCTTACCACAGAGGCAGCCCTGGAGTTTTTTTAAAGACCTAGAGTTTGTACTAATTTTATTAAAATCACAATTAGTGCGTTGAGCAGCAACTGAAGGTACTAGAAATAAGGAAGTTCTGCGCAAATGATGCTCTTATTGTACCTGTATTTATCTGATCTTATAAAGGGACTTTTCGGCCTTTTTTTTTTTTAAATTATTGAAAATATTTGATCCCGTTGATGTTCTGTGGTACCTGGCAAAAATAATACGTTTTCTCAATCAGGGTGATTTTCCCTCTTTTTAATCCCACACTGATGCCCCCCGCCAGGAAAAAGCCGCACACACAAACCACACACGTACCCGAACAGATCATTTACACTTGCAACTTTCGTATCGCACTTTCCGTTTATTACCAAATATTGTTTCACTGCATGTGATTTCGACTTGGTTACGGGCCGCCTGAATTGGGCTTATGATTTCAAGAGGACACTGAAACACAGTGGAGGGAACCCTCCCATAAAGAAGGCTTTCCGCTTTATTAATCAGCTGCGCTGGGGACAAAAAAAAATCACCAAGTCGAGATAGAGAAATTGACTGATTCCTATCAATTCATCACCTTGGATTTTTTTTTCTTCCTTATTA